CCAGGGTGCTGAGTGCCCCGCAGTGGAATTCATGAGTCTGGAAGCCAGCAGGGGGAAGGCTGGGTCCCTCCACCGCACTCCCAGGGAACCCCTGTCGCTGCAGTTCAGGCCTGGTGGAATGGGGGGTTCTGAGTCCGCGGACGGGATGTTTTTCCACTGGGGAACACGGGAAGGGCTCCACGGCCCGAGAGCTGTGACCGCTGCCCGTCGATCTGGGGCGCCTCGCACTGGTAGACCCGCCAGCGGAGAAGTAAATTATGCCGGCGGGTCCATCGACACCAACGTGGCGGGAACCAGGGCTTCTGACCAGTGCACGGTAGAGGCGGGCCAGCTGATGGTTTGCGGCGAGAACTTATGGTAACAGGGGTTAAAAATGCCCCAAGGGGCCACTTTAACGACAACAATGACAACAATGACCAGTGACCGGTGATTTGTTCTCTTGCAAGTTAATCGGACCTCGGTGAACTTCGCTGATCTGGGTATGAACGAGGCTGGCCCTCCAGCCCCCGAACGGCCGCTCCCTCCTGGGGCCCCAGACCAACTGGATGCTAACAAACGCCAGTTAGAAGAGCCCCGTGGTCCCGCAGCCCCCCGCCAGGCGTGGGAAGCTTTGCTGCAAGGCCGGGGGAGGGGCCGCCGGTCTCGGGGAGGAGCTGGATGCCGCTTGCTGGGATTGGGGCCGGTGGAGGCAGCGATCTGCACAGGCAGGAGCGTGTCGGGCCAAGCTTGCCGGTGCGCTAGGCCACACGCTCGAGCGGCACCTGGCCCCACGCTCCCAGCTCATCTCAATGAAGCCTGCGCTGTCCCCGTGGCACGGTGGTGCCCGAGCCCAATCAACACCCGGCACGAGGAACCCTGGATGCCAGAAGCCGAGGGAGGTGGCGGTGACCAGCTCCTCTGGTGCCGGCGTCCTGCAGGGGCCCAGGCAGGGCTGAGGGGAAGGCAAGGTCCCCACCAGCCGGGATGCTCTCGCGACCCGGACAGCAACGGGCGGGAAAGCAGGGGCCCTCCCCGCCATCGCGTGGCGCTCCGGGTCCTGACCGCTCTGCCGTGCTGCACAGGGTGGTTCTAGACACGCTCTGCCGCTTCCTAAGACTTGCTAGAACCCCTTAGAAGGCCCGCCTTCCAGTCCTCTGGGGCCTGCAGAGTCCACCGCAGCCTGAGTGGACGAGGAGGGACAGGACGTGACCCGGGTGACCCTCTTCCACAAGCCCCCTCCCCACTTGCAGCCTTCAGCAAGTTCCACAAGTCTCCGCATTTAGGGGTGAAACAGCACTGACCCTGCGCGGCTCATGCATTAACTCTTTCCAACCCTCGACACTTGCTCAGTCTTGCCTGGTGGCAACGACTGTTTTGTCCTCATTTTACAAGGATCCCAGGGGGTTAAGTAATGTGTCCAAGGTCACACGGCAGCATGAGGACCCAGGCGCTCAGTTTCACAGCTCATGCTATTGTAGGGGACATCACCTGCCTCATAGTGGGTGCAGAGCGGGCGTGACTGCTCTGAGGAGGGGGCTGCAGCAGGTGGGGGGTGGG